GTCTCATACCACCATTGTTTTATTGTTTGGAGGCGTGTCCCATCCTTCTGTTGCATGGTTTTGTTAAGCAAGCCTGCTTGCTTTTTTGTTTTGTGGTTAAGCTTTTTTGTTTTGTTTTGGGGTTAAGCAAACCTCTTAATTTATAGGAGTCTCCCATATTTTTCTATTTACAATCCCCTAGTGTGATTCACTTGGAGAAGGAAATGGCAACCCACTCCAGTGTTCTTGCCTGGAAAATCCCAGGGATGGGGAAGCCTGGTGGGCTGCCATCTATGGGGTCGCACAGAGTCAGACACGACTGAAGCAACTTAGCAGCAGCAGCAGCAGTGTGATTCACTATTTAAACACTTACTTTGTCCATTCTGTCCCTATCAAAATCATTGCAAAGTTTTATTCTAATTGATTAACTACATATTCAAAGAAATGCTCAGAAAGGACCAAGTGTTTTACATTTACAATTTTAGTCTATATCTCTGGTCAGAATTTTTGTGCATCTTCTTTTCATCGTACTAGCTTTATCAATGCATTGCATTTGTGTCAACACTCCATGGGCCCCTTGCATTTCTATGTATATAATTTCAAGATGTGCTAAATCGCTTCAGTCATGTCTGACTGTAGCCCACCAGGCTCCTCTGTCCATGGGATTCTCCAGGCAAGAATACTGGAGGGGGTTGCCATGCCCTTCTCCAGGGAGTCTTCCCAACCCACATTCCTAGTGTCTCCTGCATTGGCAGGCAAGCTCTTTACCACTATTGCCACCTAGGAAACCCATAATTTCAAGATAGAGATACTATTTTCTTCAAGGGCAGAGAGAAGTTTGGCTGCAGGACAGCAAAGACAAACTTTCCTTCCAGGGAAAAGTTTGCTTATGTATGCTAGCAGAATTTTCCTAAACTTAGAGTTCCTCCATGGTGATTCAAACCCATTGCTTCTGTATTACCCATCTAGCAGCTTCATTTCACTCAGTGGAACTTGGGAGCAAAAGGAATCCATGAGAATTCCTTCTGGCTGAGGAATCCACAGCCTATTGTGCTGTGAGTAACAGAGTCCTTTGTCTCTGACAGAGAAACCTCTTCTGTCCTTCTGTCAACTTCTGTGAAATTGTGGCAGGCTACTTGTTAGCTGGTAAATAGGATAAAATATCAGACCCTTTGAAGTTCTAGGTAGTGTGTTTCTTTCTTAGAGAAAGAACTACCCAGGGAAACTCCTACTGAAGGGTAGCAGAATATCCCACCCCAAAATATTTCACTTTGGCACAATGATTATTCTGAAGGCAAGTGAGAAGAAGCAGATACAAGGAAAGTTATTCTCCATTTGTCTAAAAGCAGGACCAAAAGTGACACTCCTCCACTCTCTACCAGGAAGGACAGAAATGAGTACTCTGAGACAAGTGTGGACCCTTACCATAATGAAGGCGGGGACTTAAATCTATATAACAAATCTTATGCTTGTCTATCCTTCTTTTCCTGGTAACCACCCCACAGGTAGTTTACTCATACCTTCCTTTTCTCTTTAACTGAAGATGGCATTTAAGCCAAAGTTCTAAGCCACCTCTGAGAATTATTCATTTTTCTCTGATTATCTCCCATGTCATCTTCCCTGGTGGCTCAGCAGTAAAGAATCTGCCTGCAGTGTAGGAGACCTGCAGGAGATGCAGGTTTGATCCCTGGGTCAAGAAGATTCCCTGGAGAAGGAAATGGGAACCTACTTCAGTATTCTTGCCTGGGAAAGCCCATGGACAGAGGAGCCTGATGAGCTACAGTCTGTGGGGTCTGAGAGTTGGAAATGATTAAGTTGGAAATGACTCTTAGCAACAGTTGGAAACAACAAGCACGCACACACATATAACAACAACATATACATGAGGATATGTGTTAGTAAACCTCTGGGCTTTTTTTTCAGTTGCTCATCTGTTTTTTATTATGGGGATCTCTGCCAAGAACTCAGAAGGGTAAACGGAAAATTATTTTACCACTCTTACACTATCATTTGAGATGCAGAGAAGATTTTCAGCACTATAGTCTACTGTATCTCTCTCTAAACCCATTATTTCATATAATAAATTTTCCAGCATAGGAACTGAAATTTCAAATGAGTCAATAGGAGTATTTTTTAAAAGTATGATACAGCAACCCAAGATGGCTATTCTCTTCCTCTCTGTATATGCCCTGCTTGACTAGTAAGTGCCCGCTTCACCTACACCTACTCACATACTTGCCCCAGGCCCTGACTAATAACTGTTATTTTAGCCACCATGATAGCTTATCAAATGGGGCAGTGAGGGACATGCCTTCTGCTGGTTCCCCTGGTAACCAGAAAGTCAACTTGATGTCAATTCCCCCTATAATTTGTAACTCCCGGTCCCTGGAGCAAAGACTGCCCGGTGTCCTGCCCGCAGTCCCCCACACATGATAGGATATTTCTCAAGGATATTGTATCAGACATGCAAGTTCCCCCATCCCTTAAACCTTTGCTGTCTCTGTTGCAGACATCAAAGACATTTCTTTGGACTTAAGGCTGGTTAAGCACAGGCTTGCTGGCCTGCATAGTGCAGCTCGATAGTAACAGTTATGACAATTTGCTCCATGATTCAGTGACTATGGTATGAACAGTATCATTTTATGAAAATAGAATGTATAAAAAACATTTTAAATTGTACATGTTTTTTCATAAATTACTCCGTTATTTCATTTAAAAAAAAAAAAAGCTTATAGAGTAAATGGACTTTTCTGGTGGCTCAGTGTCAAAGAATCTCCCTGCCAATGCGGGAGACAACGGTTGAATCTGAAAGATCCCCTGGGGGAGGTGACGGCTACCCACTCCAGTTTTCTTGCCATGGACAGAGAAGCCTGGCGGGCTACAGTCCATAGGGTCACAAAGAGCCAGACACGACTTAGGGACTAAACAACAACAATAATAAATAGTATGTAACAGGCACTGTTTTGTGAAGTGTTATTCCTCTAAAGAACTCCATCAGGTATAGACAATTATTATTTTATAAATGTAAAAAGTAAGGTGGAGAGTTGTGTATCACTTATCTATAATTGCAGTGTTAGCATAGCAAAGCTGAGGTTAGAACCTAGCTGCAGAATGTGGTCTCTTAAACAACAAATTTGTTTGTTTTGTATTTTAAAATACAAAATTTTGTATTTCACTGATAGATCTTCTTGCTTCTCCACTAACCCACTTCAGTCTATTGTCAGCACAGCTGAAAGAGCAATGCTTTAAAAAAATGTTACATCATGTCCAGCTAAGGCTCCAATCCCACACTGCTGCTGCTGCTGCTAAGTCACTTCAGTCGTGTCCGATTCTGTGCGACCCCATAGATGGCAGCCCACCAGGCTCTCTTGTCCCTGGGATTCTCCAGGCAATACTGGAGTGGGTTGCCATTTCCCTCTCCAATGCATGAAAGTAAAAAATGAAAGTGAAGTCGCTCAGTCATGTCCGACCCTGTCCACCAGGCTCCTCCATCCATGGGATTTTCCAGGCAAGGGTAGTGGAGGGGGGTGCCATTGCCTTCTCCGCCAATCCCATAAGTGGCCCTTATCTCACCCAGAGGATGAAAGAATATGCTTGCTATGGCCTGTAAAGTCCTGATGTGATCTTCCCCAATGCCACTGCTCTGTAACCACTCTATGACTCACCTCTGGCTCAATCCACACCAGACTCACTGGTCTCCTTGCTTTAGAGGAGAGAGCCCATTTACTCTTTCTCTACCCACATAGTATTTTTAAATTAAACAAAAATTATTTACACCATAAGTGAAGAGGGCTTAAAGAGCAGAAAAAATGGCACACCCATAACTAGAGAAATAAACAAGAAAATTCATGGTTTTGACTAAGATGAGCCAAAAATTTGTTCTCTTACACAGGAAATACATGTTTTCTGACAAGTGTAAAGTTTTCATGACTGTATCTACTTACAGTATTTCTTCCAAATCTTGGTGGTCTTTGGCCTTAGGGTGAGTTTAGATATTCAATTAACCAGTACGTTTACTAGTACAATATAAACACTGAAATAATGATGGTTCCCTTTCCTATCTGTGCCCATCTGACTTTCTCTTTCCCTCTAAATGAATTTTTTCTTTCTCCCCCTCTTCACAGATGGAAAACATAGGAAAACAGAGACAGTAAATATTTACTGCTCCTCAGCAAAATTCAGAGCCAGAATCTGCCCCTCTCAGGAATCATTTATATGCCAAATACTAAGATATACCAGCTAATGAAAAACAGCATGAATGGAGCTTATTTTATAGCACTAAGAAATTTCACATAGATAGCCTAATTCATTTTAGTCAATAAATGCTTATTTAACATTTATATTGTAGTACTAGTTTAGATGGAAAAAATATACATCAGTGGAAGCAGGGAGGATATCCTTGCCCTTGTGGAGCTTATATTCTAGCGGGAAGAATAAGCAATAATAACTAAAGATAATGAATAAGTAAATTAATATATAGTATGTTAGAAGATGATAAATGCTGTGGAACAAAAGGAACATGGAAACAGAGGTAGGGGAAGGGAGGTGACTAAGTAGGTGGCAGTATAGAATAGGCTGCCCAAAGGAGCCTTGTAAAGCAAAGGATGTTTGTGCAAAGGATTAAAGGACATGAGCAAGTTAGACATGAAAATCTCTGTAGGAAGTATATTCCAAGCAGAACTAGAGCTATAATCCAGAAATCTGATGACCTGTTTAAAGCAAAGTAAGGGGCCAGTGAGTTTGGTGTGGATTGAGCCAGAGGTGAGTCATAGAATGGTTACAGAGCAGGAACATTGGGGAAGATCACATCAGGACTTTACATACTTTTGCAAGCACATTCTTCATCCTCTGGGCGAGATAACGGCCACTTAAGGGATTGGAGCCTTAGCTGGACATGATTTAACTTGTGTTTTAAAGCGTCACTACTTCAGCTATGCTGACAATAGACTGAAGTGGATTAGTAGAGAAGCAAGGAGATCTATCAGCAATCTTTTGGCAATTTAGAGATAATGGTGACTTACCATGGAGTAGCAGCTCAGATGGTGAGAAGTGGTCAGATCATTTTCCATTTTTAAGGTATAGCCTTCTTGATTTACTGATGCTTTGGATTTGACCATTGATGTCTTGGTGACAAAGTTTCTCTCCTTGGCCAAACTCTAGTCAGGCTCTTCTGAGCAATCTTCTTAACCCTGGCCCATACAAACGTGGACAAAAACTTAGTTTCTAACAACTCGAGGCTGTATCCCTAGAATGACCCTAGTCCCCTTAAAGTGCCCATTTGAGAAGACTCAAAGCTTCCAAAAGAATTTGCTGTTGCTGCCTGGCCTGTTCCAGTCAGCACCAGAAGGTAGGGTCCCATCTCCCAGTCTCCAAGAGAGGGCAGGAGCCTCCTTTGATAAGTGCCACTTGGCAAACCGTGAAGGATTTCGCGGGGCCTGACCCCTCTTTCTACTCTTTGTAACTTTTTCTGGCTTTCCAGATTCTACAGGGCCCTCACTTACCCCCACCCCTTATTCCCTCCTCTTCCCTTTAAAACACACAGTCACCTATCTATAAATCAAAGTTGAGTTCAATTCACATCAGATTCTTTTCCCTATAATTTCCCTATTATTAATAGTCTATGACCAATTTAAATCACCCTTACTACTTTAACTAGTGTCCAGTTTTATGTATCATTGCCAGTGGTGGCAACTGGAGGAAGAACTGTTTGGGATGGCCAAATCAAAAATCAATATTAAACATGTTAGATCTGAGATGCCTAGGAGACTAAGTGACAATGTTAAGTAGGTTGTTGATCTAAGAGGCTGGTGGAGGGAACAGTGCCTACCAATCACCCAGCATTTGCTTCTTATGGAACCTTTCTATTTCCCACCTGATAAGTTGCAACTCTTAAGAAGTAGTGAAGAATTCTGTAAGAGGTATTCCTCCAAAAATGGCCTTAGAATGGAAATGATTCCTATTGGCAGTGAAAGTGAGAGGGCCCAAGAAATTAATGCCTCTTTGACATTGTTTTCCATAGAATTAGTGAATGATAGAAACAGATTATGACCTAGTAAATTAAAGTTGAAGCTTATTATAAATGCAAAGTGATTCTGGCAACTTTTAAATCCACGTAGTTTAAGAAATTATGCACACCCAATGTCTTGGACAGCTCGTGCTGCCTTAACAAAAATACCATAGACAGGACTGCTTAAACAATGGGAATTTATTTCTTGCAGTTCTAGAGACTGAAAGCTCAAGATCAAGGTGCCAGAGGAGTAGTGAGACACCTTGAGTTGCAGATGGCTGCCTTCTCACTGTTTCCACACATGGTCTTTAGCCAGAAGGAGACAGAGAAGTGAATTCTCCGGTGTTTCTTATAAGGGCACTAAAAATTCCACTCTGAGGGGCACACCTTCATAACCTCATCTAAACCTTATTACCATTCAGTAATGCTATCTCCAAATACCATCACACTGTTAGGCTTCAATAAATGAATTTTAGGGGAACATAGGTATCTATCACATACATCATCTAAAAGGTGAGGAAGAGGAGACACAGTCATAAGTGTCTGCTGTGTTGCCACCTTGGTTCCACCCTAGAATTTATTTATTTCATGCTAAAATATATTCACATAGATTTCATGCCATTGCTTTAATTGATAGACAGGAAAAAATATCATACTTTCTCCAGAAATTATTCATTGTGTTTTCAACATGAAATAATGAAGGATTTATATGTGTTAATTTCACAAAGTATAAAAATATGACAGTACAAAGTGAAGTCATCTGGTAATAATTTCATTAAAAGTCCAAAGGTTCAGTTTCTTTCAGCAACTGCCTAAGGGTTCTTCCCGCTAGTGAGGACTGAGAGCTAAAAGTTTCCTAAATAAGAAAAACCTGAATATTATTTACCATTTATTATTGAAACCAGCCAGTTGACAAATTGACCTTATTCAGCTAGGCTTTCAACAACACAGTTTTCTGTTTCTGATTCTGGTAATATTAAGTACTCTATTGGCAGAAGCACAAACTCTAAAGCAATTTAATAAACAGTAATACATATATGAAAAGTGTCAACAGGACTCTTCAGAAAGGTGAAGAATGGTAGCTTCTGAATATATATAGCAATAAATATACTTGGATTGCTAAAGCTCTATTAAGCAATCTGGATTCAGCACAAGCTTCTTTAGAAATGCTATGTGTAATGTTAATCACAATGTGTGTCCACCACTAATGCTCAATAAAAGCACCAACACTATAATTAATAGCCTTGGTGAAGTTATCTGTGATTCAGGTAATATTGGAAAAACACCTGTCTTCCATCTTATTTTTAAATGTTTATTTATTTGGTTGGATTGGGTCTTAGTTGCAGCACACAGAATCTTCATTGTGTCACGCAGGATCTTCCACTGTGACACAGAGACTCTTTGGCTGTGGCATGCAAACTTAGTTGTGGTGCATGGGCAGCTTAGCTGCTCCACCACAAGTGAGATCTTAGTTCCCCGATGAGGGGTGGAACCCCACCCCCCATCCCCTGCACTGAAAGGCAGATTCTTAATAACTGACCACCAGGGAAGTCCTGTCTTAAATTTTAAATACAGGTTTCAAGCTTGTGAATATCAGACCCCATATTAACATGAGATCATACACTCACAACACTGACTTTCTAGAAAGATAGAAATGAAATAACATTGATTGATACTTTGGGTTGGTGATTATCCCTTCAGTCAGTAACTTAATTATATATTATGTGAGTTTGAGTTACCAAAAATGGAAATAATGTGATCAAAACCATAAAAGTGGTCCAATTCTTAAATAGATCATGGACTGCCTAAAAGCTGAGATCATCTCATTTCCATACATGCATGTGTGAAGATAAGATTGCTGGTGGAAATAAGACCTGGTAATAGGAATGAATGAAAAGATTAGAATCTTATTTTCCATAAATGTTTGTTGTTTATATATTTATGAATCTGGTCACACTGTGCAGCTTCTGAGATTGTAGTTCCCGGATCAGAGATAGAACCGATGGAACCAGGCCCTCAACAGTGAAAGCACAGAGTTCTAAGCACTGGACCACCAGGGAATTCCCCTACGATCTATGTATTTATATAGCACATGATACTTTTCACAGTTATTTTCCAGAATATTATATTTGATATTCACAACAACCTTGTGAAATAAATAGCACCAGTTATTCAATAAATTTTAAGAGGAAGCTAAGATAGTAATAAGGTGCATCGTGAATGCAGGCACAGATCAAAAAACAGTTGCAAAATATTTTTAAAACAAAACATGACCTAATTGATTTTCGTGTTTGGAAAATGATAACCCAAAATGCTCCTGTAGTTTTGAATAAATGAATGACGTTCCCGGCTTAAGCTTTCTAAGTTGTTTAAAAAGCTAAGAATTAAGCTATAAAGCACTTTATTGAGTTCTCCCAAATTAGAAATTAAGTAAAGGAAAAAGTTTAGTACACCCCTTGTAAGGTCCCAGAGGCTAGGAATTGTGACATACACTAACACAGATGAGGATCATTATCGGGAGCCGCCGGGATGCACCCAGTCCGTGACAAGGTCATGGGACGAGAGAGGAACCTGCAAGGCAACTATTCCTCACATGGGGCTGCCCCAGGGGCCCAATATGTCCCCTCCGGAGCTGCCGGGACAAGAAAGGAACCTGCAAGGCAGCTCTTCCCCTCGAGGTTGTCCCGGGGACAAGGTCAGGGGATAAGAAAGGAATCTGCAAGCAGCTCTTCCCCTCGAAGTTGTCCCAGGGGCCCGGTATGTCCCTTTCTTCCTTCTGTCTTACTGTTGTTGGGCTTTCTATTAATTTTTGGAAATGATAATATATAGTAATAAAGCCTCGCTAGAAAAGTCCAAGCCTTTTTGGAAATGCTCAAGATTGCTCTGGCTCAGGACATGACCATAAACATCAAGTCATAAAAGAAAAGGCCACAGGTATAGTTTGGCTGCTTGCTTAATTATAATGTTCTAGAATAGAAAAGAGTAGAGGTGTTTAGATTTAGAAGTAGATATACTGCTTTAGTTTACTTGCTCTTTGGTTGAAAGGGTTTTCACTATTGCTATTTCCTTGCTGCTATTTGTTCATTGTTTCCCTTTCTTTAAACGACATGGGATATTGTGGGTATTTTTGTAAAATTAGAAAATGTATATAGGATTTTAATAGAAGGTTTATATTAACCAGCTTTACTGCCATTATCTTACTATTAATAGAAGTGTTTTGCTGCTTTAGAGGTATTTTTGCTGTTTAATAGTTAATCATCGTAAATTGAGATTTTGTGGTTTCAGGTAAAGAAAAATATCAGGTTTTTCTCATGGTAATATTTTCAGAAATGTCAAACATGTTACTGTGACCCTTCCCATGTATTGTTTTATTGTCCAAAGAATTTACATTATACCAGAGACTTGTGGAACATTGTTTTTGTTAGAGTGTGAATGTTAGGCCATTGAGGCAAGAAGACTATGTATGGGACATTTAAGTATAAACCCTGTAATCGGAAACATTCTAGATGAATGCTTAGGGGAAAAACATGGGAAAAAAATATTGACGGAAGCACAAACCAATATTTGATGTAATATGTGATGACTTAAAGGGGAGGTACATTCATTCTATAAAAACTGAGCTATCCTAAAAATAAAAAAAAGAAAGCTACCTCTTCTATGCAACCGTCTGTGTGTGTCTGTCTGTCTGTCTTCTTCCTCGCCGACGCCACTCATCCCTTGGGTATTCCTGGTCCTGCTGGGGCTGGACCTCGGCAATCCATGATCAGTGATGGTGCAAAAACCAGCAAAGTGGGTATAAGAAACTCAATTAATGCACCATCCAAGATCTACTCAACTTAGTCTATCTCAAAGTGTTGCTTTGTTTTCTGGCCTCTACCCATAAAACTCACTTGTTGCTGTGCATGAGTGCTCAGTTGTGTCTGACTCTTTACGATCCCATGGACTGTAGATTGTCAGGCTCCTCTGTCCATGGCGTTTTGAGGCAAGAATACTAGAGCTGGTTGTCATTTCCTTCTCCAGGGGATCTTCCCTATCCAAGGATCGAACCCATGTCTTTTGCATCTCTTGCATTGGCAGGAGGATTCTTTACCAGCTGAGCCAACTAGGGAAGCCCACTAGTTGTTGGTGCATTTATTAAAAATGCAGATGGCATACTCAGAGTCAATTACCACACTTAGGCTG